CAGCTGATGTTCGTAGAGTTGCCAAGTTTTGTGCAAAGTTGAAGGTTTGAACCAGCAGATACCGGCGGAGAGACAGCGCACCTGCTGCCACGATTATCCCATAATGGGGACTGTGTCAAGCAGAAGCTGATGTGCTTTGTTCTCCCCAGTAGGTTTCACTGAATCTTCCTTCATTTGCTTGTCCCCATGGAGATGTTGCATTTCTCCCTAAAACGGGACACGTTTGTACTTCCATTTCACCCTCTGCAGACTGCGGTGCTCCTCCCAGAGAGCCCCTTCTTCCTTTCTGGGGCTTGCAATGGGCACAGCGAGTCAGGAGGGATGGATGATGGCAGGGGCTCCCTGTTCTGCACAGAGAGCAGCTCGGCTGGCTCCCAAACCATGCGACCTGGCCCTTGACACACTTAAATTGAGTTTTACTCCATCCATCTGTTGAAAAGCAAGGCTTAGAGCTGAGGTCTCAGGAGTCCAGACTGTGGAGTTTAATCCAGCAGTCGAGGCAAGTCTCTGACTCCACTTTCCCAGTGTTGAAATGATGGGAACAAGAACACCGCACAAGTCTGGGGCCCTGGATGGGTGTCACAAGGTAGATGCATCTCCAACCAGAGGGCTGTGACATGCACGATGCAATCGTGGCCGCGGGTCTGGAACTCACATTGCCATCTGGGTTATTAATTTGGTGATACCGAGAGATGGGCTGCACCTTTTATGCCCCTCCATCCCACCTTCCTTTCTTTTTATGCACCGAGAGTCTCAGTGGCTTGACCTAGGGAAATGTTCTTCCCATGCATCTCTGCAAGCTTGGGTTGACCATGGCTTGGGTTGCCTCTCTGCAGACCAGGAAATGAGGGTCATGAGAGGCTGCCTGGATGCTTCTTCCTGATTTTGGGTGCTCATGACAACAAGGGAAATGAGCAGATCGAGGCAGGAAAGGCCTGGTTTCCTTTAGGCTGTAACAACTTCAGGGCAGGGTCCATGTCAGCCTAGACATCCATATAGCACCTAACACAATGGGGCCCAGAGCTCAACCGGGGGACTCTGAATATAAATATTTAAGAGTGATGTTTTTTTTTTTTTTTAAGTGGATAACACTCTCAACAAAGTGCGCAGAGGACGCTTCGCTACACATTTAATTTAGCTTTAATGAGACCTTTAAGGTATGTTAATTCAATTCCAAATAATTACTTAAGCAATGCACAAAATGACAGCCGTTGCATTTCAGGGTGGCTTCGTCACAGCCCGCAGGCGCGCTCGCAGGGAAGGAGCTGCAGGCGAGGAGCAGGCAGCTGGAGATGCCCAACCTGGAGCGAGCGGTTGCTTTGCTGACATGCATTTCGGACACACGTGCCAGGAGAACCACAGGATCCACGTGTGTATAAGAGCATGCACGCTCCGTCCTGTGCAAGACGCGCCCCCGGTATTCCCACCCTTCCTCGGGCTCAGCCGTGCAGGAAGGGGGGCTCCACTTAAATCAGAGGCAAGCGTCATTTCAAAGCAGGGGAAGAGGCACCCGAGCAGAGCCTCAAGGAAGGGTTTAGCCTGGGCACAGCTGCACAGGCAGCTCCTATCCCCTGCTCCTGGCCTGACTCTCCTCTCTTCCAGCTTTTCTCCACCCACCAAGCCTTGCCGCCCTCTGCTTATTCTTGTGGCTCTTTCTCTAGTTTCTCATTTGATCTGATATCCCTTAAAAGTGCCAGGCGGCTGCTCCTGTTTCCCTCTGCTCTGCATGGTTTGTAAAGGAGATGGGGAGCAGCCAGGGGCACCACGTGATGTTTTCTTGCTCACTCTCTCCGATTCCCCAGCGAGGCCGGTGTCACATCAGGCAGAAAGCACCGAGACCCTAACACGGCGGCGGCAGCTGCAACCAGCAGCAGTTGCCTCCTCTCAGACGACAGTGGGGGGAAAACTAATCTTGACTTGTTTCCACTGGGGACCCGGTGGAGAGAATCAGCCGGAGGAATATTGGTGGGGCCATTTGGAAGGCGGCAGAATGTGCTTTCGGGGCTGCCAACTAGCATCTTGCTATTAAATAATAAAATAATACCTGGCTTTCCCAGAGGGGAGAGCGGAGGAAAAAACACACATGCGCGTGTGCAGGGTCCTGCTTCCCCACACTCAAAGCGCGTGCGGAGCCCAGCCACCAGCATTGCCCTTTTGTTGCTCATGTGTCGGCTCATATATAGATTTTCTTCTCCAGCACAAACAAAACTGCTGCCAAACAGGAGCTAATTGGCCTCCTTGCTGGCAGCAGGGAGGCCAAGGACCAGAGCGGCTGCAGCGCCCGAGTTCCCTTCTTGTCCCTAGAGGGTGAATCCCTGAGCAAATTAGCTGAAGGTCGAGAGCAGAGGAAATGCACCCTGACCCAGCATCGGTGCCTCCGTGGAGGCAAGCAGAGACTCACGCAGCGCCCCACCTCCCGCCAGCTCGCACGGCACAGCCAGAATGGCTTTTTTTCCC